GTTGACAGAAAAAAAAAAAAAGAATCCCATAAAAATATTTTCGGAAACGTTTAATTTATAAATTAAAATCACGTGATTAAAATTATTTTTAATTTATGTATATTTTTTATAAAAAAAAAATATTATAATAAATTATAAATTATAATTTAAATTATGGTTTAAATTTTTTAACTAAACCTCTCCTTAATTTTGAAGTTTAATCTATCATAAACAATGTATAACTTCCTTGATGGGATATGAAATTTCGTTGTTTACCAGCAGCTTCCCCAAAGTGTCGGTTCAGTCCCATTTACTTGCTGTTGTAAAAATACACAATGAATGTCTTTTTTTTCTTCTTTTTTTTTTCCCATTTTCCGAAAGAATATTTTTTGCGTCCCAAGAAAATAATCCTTCATTTCATGTTTAAAAAAAAAAAAAAAAAAAAAAAAAGATGCTCCTTTTTTTTTTCCTTTGAAAAAGAGGAAATATTATATTATTAGGGCACTATAAACAATGAAAATATTTGTTATATTTGATCAGTTTTGTATGTCTTTTATTATTCTAGAGGACATGATTTCCACCGGACGTAAGGACTATGTTTGGTATGAGTGAAAAGTGGAAGGAAAGAAAATATTGGAGGGATTTTAGGATGGAAATTGGTAATTAACTTGTTTGGTAGAAAGGAAATTAGGAAAGAAAAGAAAATTGAAAAGAAATTGTAATGGGTGAGTCCCACCATATTTAATCTCTTTAAAAGTGGGAGGATTTTAAGAAGGAAAATGAATCTCTCACTACCTTGCTTCTTGTTTCGTTCTCTCTCTCTGTTTTTTTTTTTTTTTTTTTTTACAATTTGCTCGTCCAATTTTTTTTTTGCTTTTGTTTGTCTAATAACTTGTATGTAATTAATCTCTCACTGTCTTGCTTCTTCTTGTTTCGTTCTCTCTCTTTTTTTTTTTTTTTTTTTTTACATTTTGCTCGTCCTTTTTTTTTTTTTTTTCTAATATCAACATTGTATGTTAATGACTTGCTCTTGAAGATGATGTACAACAATGAATACTGAAATCATATGGTTTAGAAGTTTAGTAGTCACACCAGTTTATAACCCTTTTAGTAAATATATCTATATGATACTTAGTTGATCACACATAGTTTTTATTAATACTTGACTGCAGGTGAATATTAGAAAATATATATGACCATACAAACTAATACTTTTGTGAAAAATTTCACTTACTTTACAATAGTGGATGCATAGTATATTAGTCACTTTTTTGTTGTATTTGAACTGTAGTTAGTTACTCTTTTGTTGTATTTAAACGTTAAAAAAATTAATGATACATTAATGCTATATAAGTTAAACTATGTTTTTGTACCTTTATATATGTATGTGTGTGTATAATATAGATGGAATATATGTTCAAGTTACATGAATTTTTTGAGTTAATTTGATGTTGAATACTGTATTATTTATACTTTTATTAGAAAAGAATATTAATAAAAAAAATTTAGGCAAAAAAGTAATTACACCAATAATAATTTTTTCATCTCTTTAGTTTCACTTCCAATACCAAACAATAGAAGGTAAATTCATTTTCTTTCTTCCCTATCATACCAAACAAGTCAAGGGAAAATCAAAATCTTTTCTATCCTTCTAATTTTCTATGCATTATAGTTTTCCTTTCCCTCCTATTTTCTTTCCTTCTTACCAAACAGAGCAAATTCCAGAGGATGTGATCTCCACCGGATGTAAGATTTAAAAACAAACTTTACGTATCACCCAAGTACAAACCTCGGCAGAAGTATCCAAAATTCTTGTTATTCTAATGCGTTTGACCTTGGCTTTATGTATACCTAACACCCTGGGAAGGGCATATGTGAAATTGATGGGTTTTTAGAAGTCAAAATTAAAAGAACCGACAATGCGCTAGTCATTATTATTTTTTAGTTGGAACCCTTTTTTTTTCCATTTTCTTTTGAAAAATTGCCCAACACCAAACAGAATCCAACAAGCTGCCTAAAAGTCTGCCTTTGTAACCTACAGAAACCAATTAAAGAAATAAAAGGATGTATTAGATTACCAGGTCAAGATTGGGTCTGATGTTTGCACTCCCAAGTTGTATTATTATTATTATTTTTTTTAGTGACGCATCATTTCATGGTGTTAATTTAACCATAATCCCTAATATTAGATTCAAATATATAATAAAGTAAATCATAAACACCGCAGGGTGTCCACGATGGTGACCCTTCTTCTGTCACAGACCAAAACCCCAAAGTCATGTGTCAACGTAATGAAAAGCTTATTTATTTATTTTTGTTTTAGATTATAGGTACAGAGATTCACAACACTTTATTAAAATTATGAGATTAAAATTATTTTTGATTTACGTGTATTTTTTATGAGAAAAAATATTGTAGTGAACCATGAACCATAATTCGAATCAGGGTATAAATCTCCTTACCGAACGTCACCTATATTTGGACCCACAACCTAGCAACCTTTGGACCCAGTTACCATTCCGATTCAGAAAACAGAACATGAGGATCTAATATATGTTCCCCTGCATTTCTTCTGCCAGAATTAGGACAAAATTTTGAGTTATTAGCACTTTGACCCCGATTTTTGCAACACATCCACTGAACTTTTAATTCTAGCATTTCACACCCTCAACTTACTAAATGGTAGCAATTTTTCCCCTTTTTATCCTTTGGGATCGAATTTTGAAGTTAATTTGGAGATTTAAATGATTTATATTAGAATCCAAATATCGATTTCATTCCTTAAAAAAAAAAAAATTTCCAAGGTGAGATGGCCATTGGATTTTTTGCTCCCTAAATTAAGGGCTATTAGTAAAATGAGGTACATGATTTTGCTAATTGATAAGAGTAAATTGCCGAAATTAAAACTTCAAGAGGCAAGTTGTCAAAATCAGTAAAGTTCGGATGCAAAAGTATTAAAACCATAATTTTTTTTTATGGAATAGAATTGTGGCGTCTCAGTTGAACATAAATGTATAAAATAATTTCTCGATATTGACAAGCATGAATAGCAGCGATGTGCCAAAGATGGCATGGCGTGTATTCATTTCTTCATGTGACAATATAATTCATGGCCAACACAATCATTTTTCCACATGTTGCTTCGGTTACTTGAATTAAAAACGAGTAACTTTGATTGATTATATAAAGAGATAAAGAGCATCAACAATAGCCGACATAAATCAGCATTAACATTGTATTGTAAGCATGTGTTTCAATTTGTCTTTTCTCAGCAAATAGAATTGAGACACCAAAATAATAATAATAATAATAATAATAACAATAATAATAAAAGAATTGATTACTCATGATCCTAAAGCAACCTCAGATCCCACTCAAGGGGGAAAAAAAATAATAATAAAAGAATTGATTACTCATGATCCTAAAGAAACCTGAGATCCCACTCGAGGGGGAAAAAATATTATAGAAAAATGTTGAACAGCTTGGACAATACAATGCCTGCCCACAACAACTTTTTGTGCAATAAATATTCTCCCCTTTTTCATTTCTCTTTTCCCCTTCCATTTCTGGGTTCTAATTATTTTGTCAGTTGACTTCGGAAGACTCAAAAATGGAGAGGCAATAGATAACAAATTAATAAATGAGATAAGAATGAGAAGAAAAGAACGGAAGAAGAGAAAGAAGAGGAAGAAGCTCTCTTAGTTTAAAATTTTTTCAATGTCTTCTATAATTCAGTAACCTCGCCATCTTTACACACACCAACGTCTATCAACATAGTTCCATTCTTCTGCGAGTCCATGATCCTGCAACAGTTTCTCCTTGGGGACTGCCAAATCAAACACAAACCAAAAGAAAACCGCATTAGTTTTTTTTGTATTGCAATGCAGCAGAGAAGTTAAAAATGAAACAGCTTACCCTGTTCCATAGATCAGGGTCTGGCTTCTTAAAAACCTTTACTATGTCAAACTCCGAAGGATCGGCCATTTTCCACCTGCACAAAGGATGAGGAACCCTATGCCTGACATACTCGGTAATTGTTTGATTTGTCGTGCGGTCTAATTTTGCCTTGGAGAAGTAAAACACGAAAGGTTTCTGGCATGGATTTCGGCTAACAGGGCGTGTGTTGAATGCATACGCCGTGTAATCTGCCCTTCTATACCAATTCAAAAAGGTTCTGGATGGCATCTCCATCTCACGGGGCGAAATGACTCCTCGAAATATTTGTACAGCGAAGCCCCACGAAACCGAAACGGTCCAGCTCTTTGGCTTATGGTAGCAGATGGATTGTTGCATGATTGCTGCTGAGTCCAGCTTGATTGGAACATTGAGCCGCTGCAGAGCTTCTATTCGTGTCACATTCGGGAAAATGGGTTCGACGATGTCTAGGTGATGCAGCGACACCAAGGGTGTCACTGGATGAGCTGCAAGGAGCCCGAACAAGTTTCCGTACACATCATACTTGTTCAAAGAAAACAATTGCTGTTAGTATAAGGGCGATCATATCTATCTCCATTGTACCACAAACAAAACAAAAAGGAAACAATAAGAGGAATTACAGGGTAAAAAGACCAAAGGCCAAGAATGTTTTGCTCTGACTTGTCAATTGATCCTAAACTAAAACCAACATCATGACACCACATTTTGGTTAAAGAATTAGTCAAATATGCAGGAAACTAAGAATCCAACCCGAAATTGTCAAAGACATTAAAAAATGTTGCCTGACTTTAAGTCGCTTAGGTAGGCGGGTCAGGTCAAGTTATATAAAACACCGGTCCATCCAAACCATCATCAATTCCATAACAAACTTTCACCACCAAACAGATCTTCAAAGCTGCTAATTTGTAACACCATGTAATTTATTTTATACCCCACTAATTTTCTTTTAAAAAAAAAAAAAAAAAAAAAGGCATGGAGACCAAAATTCTGTATCTTTTGAAAGGAAAAATGAAAAAACAGAGCTAGAAGCCTATAACCCATTGCTCCAAACAAAACCAACTATGAATTAACCTGCTCTAATGTGTTTCATTAAGCAATGTTAATTATGTCATTAACAAACAAATAAGAAAAGGACAATTATTATTTTAGTTGTTTAACTCGAGGGCATTAAATTTTAAGACAGTGGTCTAATTAGGTAACGTAGCATCAAAGCTATACGCAAAACTGAGCTAAATTAGCTAATCCCCAAAGCTTACATTATAGACCAGTACTAATCCAGAAAAGAAGACCAAGACGACACACAAAACCAGGCAATGCAATAAGAAATATATATATTTAACTACAATTAGCATTTAATTCTCCTAAACAACTTCATTAATTGCGATTTCCAAAGCTCGAAACCGACAACAATGGCGGAAGAGAGAACAAACCTGGTGAAAGCCGACTTCTTTGGTGAGAGGAACGCCGAGCTCGGCCATGCAAGCCTGCATTCGGTCGTCGGAGCCGTAGAGCCCCGGGTAGCGGTGGATGCAGCGGTCCTGCATCTTCGCCAGGGCTTTGGCGAGCGGGAAACTGATGGCAAAGCCGCCGCCGCCGTACGCCATGCCGTACGAAAAGAAGATGTTCTGCAAGTGGCTCTCCGACAGGCTCCCGATGTAGTACATCTGGTTGTGATCATACTTCCGGAGAATCCGGACCAGATTGTCGGTGACGAAAACGGTGTCGTCGTCGCCCATCACGAACCACCGCACGTTTTTCAGCCCCAGGCGGAGCGTTTCCGACACGATCCGCGAGATCCGGAGCGCCGACCGGTGGCCCTGCTTGTTAGCGTAGGGGAAGCTCGAAGTGTCGCTCGAGATCCTCACCGGAGGGAGCGATTTTGCGTCGTCGCCGTTGCTCTCGACGGCGCCGTCCATCCAGACGACGCCCCTCATCGATCTCGGCCGGTACCAGAGCTTGATGTAGTTCTTCCTCTGGCTCCAGAGGCTCGACGACGCCGCGATTCCGAACACCACGTGCTTGATCTCTGTCATCTCCGTCGTCTCTCGAGATTCGCGCCGGAAAACACGCGCCGTCTGGTTGTCGGCGGCGGCATTGCGGATCGAGAGGCTGGCTGTCCCGTGGCGGCGCGTGGTGAAGAACTCGTCGTCGCAGGCGGGGCGTGAGGTTGAGGAGGAGATCAGGCGGAGAGTGTAGACCACGTACGTGACGCAGATGAAGAGCATGAGGTAAAGAAGAAGCTTGGGGACTGGCCGGGTTTGCGAGGTTTGGACAACAATGGGGTTTATCAATTTCTCGGAATCTTTCTGGTTCGCCTTCATTTTCAATCCTCCGATTTTCTCGTCAAATCCCCTCAAAAAAAAAAAAAATCTTTATTTCTTCGCCTTTTCCTTTACGCGAATAAGGAGAGAAAAATCACAGAAAAACACATTGTTCTGAAAGACATCAGAGAGGCCAATCAATAAGTTGAAAGGCTCAAAACAGAAAATCCCACCAAAGAATCGAGAAACCCAGAAAGTGAAACTGAAGAAGAAGACGGTGGGGGTGTTAGAGAGAGAAAGCGAGAGAGAGAGAGAACTAGAGAGCTTGCATTGTTGACAGGTTGCAGAGACTCTGGGAAGATTGAGTTGAGCTACAGAGGGAAAAAATGTTATATATACATATATATATATATATATAGATATATAATTTTAGTGGTGTATTTATGTGTGTGTATACTTTTTATATAGTGTATGGGAAAAATATTTTGAGTCAAACTGCTTTGGACACTAGAAGCGTGTGCAGAGAAAGGTGGAGGATTCTGCTCCGTCTGTTTCATCAGATCTTTGAATACTTTTTTATTAGTTTTTTTGGTCCCTTTTTGTTTGGGTTGGTGAGTGCTACCATTAAGCAACTTCTTAACGCCCTTAATACCAAAGCTCGCTTATTGTTCTAAATTATTTTAACTAATTGCTCCTGATCTCAAACTCAAGATAAGATTAAGGATTGATTTTATTAGGAATTATCTTAAGTTCAATACTCGGATCAGTCCTTTGAATGCAGTTTTTCCATAATCTTGTTAATGTCATTTGTTTGTGTGTTTAACACTTGGTTTACTTAGTATAACATTTAAAAAATATAGTGCAACATATGTAACTTAGAGCATTACACTTAAATAAATTGAATGTTACATACGCGTATAAATGACTACATTAAATATAATCTTAGGCTTATCAAAACAAAGGTTTTTTTTTTTTTAAGAGCTTGAAAAAAATAAAGAGTAGTCGATCAATATTCAATTATTTTGTAAATTTTAGTCTATTATTTTTTTTTCTCTTTATTACTATATTGTGCTATTATATTTATGGTTATCGTTCTTAACAATAATTTTAATTGTGATACGTTCGTTTTACTTTCTTTTTGAGTAATAAGGCGTCTTATAAGATATACATTTGGTATAAGAAACTTAAGAATCAAATATATTAGAAAAACTAATAGAAAATAAAAATAATTTTAAAGTTCTTAAAAATTAATAGAGAAGGTCCACGTATAAGTAATAATTAATATCCTACGTCGTATTATTGTAGACAAAAGAAAACCCATGTACGTCAGGAAAATATGAACGATGATGGTTCTTCTATTTTAAATAAATACTTGCGTAAAAACAAAGATGTAAGTATAATAATAATTAAAATTATTTTACGGTATACTCTCTCATAGATAGTGCACATTTTTTATAGTTGAATTTGATTAAAATCATATCACAATAAAATATACATATACAAAACAAACAAGTTTTAATACAAATTTAATTGAAAAATAAAAACATACTGATAATTCATTTGTCCAAATTTTATCATAGAAATCTCTTGATAACTGATTGAATACCAAATCACATGAAGTAAACACATGATACAAAATACTTCTATTTTTGCTTACACTATCTCAAAATGCCTATATGAAATGTAACCTAAGGCCACTATCTCTCAAATGTTTTGTTTTAATGGAATTAGGCCTCTATTAGGTGAAAATATTATAGGTTTTTACGTCTTATTTATGTGTAATATATAGCAACTTATTCAATTAAGCGGACGTTTTTGTTATATCACTAAATAAATACTACTATCTTATTCTTTAGATTAATTTTTTAACAGTCTAATTTATAAGTATTCACATTAAATTTTGAAACGCGTGCCGTAAAATTACTCATAATCATAATCAGACCAACAATCAAAATAGCAGCACGTACTGATAGGATAAAAAAACAGTTCCTACTTCCTATCATAAGAGTTGCTTGGAATATAGATGTGTGGAGGTTTTTATCACTTTTTTTTTTTTTTGATATTTTATTTGGCAATTGGTGATTGAGGCAGTACGGTAGGTCCTTATTGAGTTGGTCATTCGGGTCAATTAACGTCTCCAGAGGGGTCCGTGTGTTAACTAGCAGTGTCATTATTGGACGCGTTTCAAATTCATTTTAAAATAATTTTATTTTTTATATAGACATGAGATTGAAAATATTTTTAATCTCACAGAAATTATTTTTAAAAATAAGTTTAATAATTTTATCAAAAAATTATTTTTAGTGTAAAAAAATTTATTAATATCTTTCTTTCTTTCTCTTTTTGCTTGAGAGAAAATAAAATGAAAATCAACTAAAAGTCATTTTTATTTCTCTCTTATTTTACACTAAATTAAAAAATCGTTTTCATTTTCCATTTTTTATCCTTATTGTGCTAAACACCGTTTTAAAAACGTTTTCATTTTTTTTCTCAAAAAATGTGAAAAATAAAAATGGGATCAATTCTAAACACGACCGTTATGTCTCAATGAGCTATCTCATTCTTTTAGATTTTTACTGGAACTTGGAAATTATAAGCTAATTTTCGCGTATTTATTGAGTTAAAGTGTTTAGAATTTTTTTTTGGAATATATAAGAAAGAAAACTCTCAGTATCACGTCACTTAATTATATATGTATTAATAGAAAATCACTCTTGTGATATGTTGTTCAAATATCACAGAGAGATTAAAAAAAAAAGAGAGAGAAAAATATTTTTTCTTTTATTTATAAACCTTTCCGTGAATTGTTACTTCTCAAACTTGATATATTAGTTCCTTGCATAATGGATTTGCTAAACACATGTTTATGGGCAAATTTTTAATGATTATATTTCTATTGATAGTTATTCTTAAATATGGAAATTTAATAACGAGACGTGATAAGATTTCAATCTCATTAATTATCATAAATTTTTTTAATCAATGATCTAATTTATTACAACTATCGGATCATTATTTTATGGTTGAAACAATAATATGTTTAGTTTGATGATTCGAGTTTTTAATTTGAGTTGAGATATAATTTTATATGAGAGTTTTTTACTATAGTAAAAAAGTTAGATGTGACTGTTTCTGAAAGCTTTTTACTGTAATAAAACTCGAATTCTAAATTCAAATCGGTAAAATTAACAGAGTCTTAAAAAACTCACGTCTATATTCAAACCTAAAAATTCAAATTGCACAATTTGAATTTGTGAAGTGAACGATGTCTTAATAAATTGTGTTATTTGGCTTCTTATATTGTAGAATTAAATCCTTGGACGTAGGAACAAAAGCAATATAAGAATCATAAACAGAGATTTTTGTGATAGTGATATAAGTAAATTGGAATTTGTTGGTGCAACTCTCTCTCTCTCTTTTTTTTTTCAGCAAGGTGCGACTCTCTTTTAGCTTCCCTTTTGTTTGCTGATTTTACTGTAGTACTCGATCAACAATAAAAGAATTACTGTAAATAGTAACTGAGCTTGAATTAAAAATTTGACTCATTTGTTTCTTGTGGTGTTTTTTGTTTCCTTGTTTTATCGTACTATTTGTACAAGCAACAGATGCTGTAAATGGAAAGCTCAAAACTGCTTCCAGTTTTGTGTTGCTTATTTAGTACTGTGGGATTTTATTATCAGAAAATCCTAATCAGCAAAACCCAGAAGATGAATTCTATAAATGAAGACTAAGATCACAAGTTGTGGCCACACAATACGGCAAAGTTTTGTCCTTTTCACGAACCCAACATAAGTTATCCACCAAAACTAGATTCCCCAGATCATAGATTTACTGAATCCTCACGAGTAAGTGTCCATTCTGACTTCTATACAACTCGTGGAGTTTAATTATTGTCTTACGCAGAGGAATCAACGGATTGACCATCACGGTAAGATCGTCGTGGGGGTTTAAAAGAGGGCGGGAAGCTTCACTTAGAAATACCTTTTTTTTTTTTTTTCCTCAACCTTCCTTTGATACCAAACGAATTAAAAGTTGATCCAAAATTGTTGAGTTCTAAACAAATCACATGCAGTCATTCTGATATCAAGTCTCAAATTTACCTAAAGGACCAAAAACACAATGGGAAAACTTTGGACAAGCTCTTGAAAATGGTGTTTCTGAACATTTTGAAAGATTGCCAGATTGTATGTCGTATCTAATTCCAAGTTTCCAACTCTTGGAAATAGTTTCCAACTCTTGGAAATGGCTGTTTATGCTTTAGCCAAGGTAAGATGGGTGAAGAACAACAATTCACAGCCATAAATCACCACTCACCAGACCAACCAAAACCCAAAAAAAAAAACCAAGAAAACATAAAGAAACGGAAACAAAAACGAAACAGTAACAAGAACAAAAACATGATATGCAGGCTAAACGCCATTTATAATGCCCCTTGGTTGCAGTAGAAATCTCCAATGAATTTTAATGCACGTGAAGACCCTAGCAAGAAGGCCTTGATTCTTGATTTTTTCTTCATAACATTACCAATCTAGAATGTTGTTGTTTATTGTTTTATGGAATAATAAGTTTATGGACGGTCCATGGATAAATTTTTTAGGGTGTGAAAAAAATCTTTTAGTGCATGTAAAATATTCATTGTTTATTCCACAAGCACCCGTGATCAATTTTTTTCTAGTGATTGTTTAACCAACTCACATTGTTGTTTATGTATATTAACTTGTAGAGCCTCATTATATGCTGACGAGTTTATAATTAGGCATGTTTAGTTCGCTGATTGGAGTTTATAATTCGAATTGAGATGTGATTTTATGTGAAAATTTTTTACTTAATAAAAAAGATAAATATTATTATTTTTGAAAACTTTTTACTGTATTAAAATTCAAACCGGTGAAATAAACGATGTCTTTATTTAATTTATTTATTATTAATTGTTTTTTCGAGTTTATTGCTCTTGATAATTAGAATTATACCGTCTAATTCTTGACAATGTATGGCGCGATAGAATGGATTCTCTTCTACTTCTGGTCAAAAAGTGAATCAGTACATTGGTATTTGAATTGCCCCGTCTTTTTTCAGCGAAAAAAGAACTATCCCATCTCTACTTTTTCAAAGACTTGTGATTATGTTCAATTTCAATCAAAAGCAAAAGTCGGGACGGTTATCATTAGATTGGCCCATACTGTATAAAGTGGATCAAGAACTTTTTCATTGGTCCTTTTAAGGAGATAGGTGTCTTTAGCCCACTGTAAAGTGTCAATACTCATGCATGAAACTGCAAAGAGCAGAGAACTAGAGTTGTCGTTTTCTTCTCTTCGGCCACAAGTAATTTGGGAATACAATTTTGTCCTATTTTATGATTA